AAGGAACTCAATGCAACCTGCTCTCTCTAAGGCCTCAAGAAAAGCATCCCAATCATTAGTCATTCAAATGCCGAAACATATATTTTTCACAGATTTTATAATTATACACCATTGGGATAGAAACTTACACCCATGCTTTTGTGAACCATCTAACAAACAAAGAAGCTCAAACATGAATCCCCATGACAATTCTCTAAATCGGTGAAGAAATACATAATGATGTGTGCATAGGAATAACTTATACCTATTACCATTCAAGAAATATTCAAAGCATCATGCTGACAGTAAAGCATGGATATGAGCACAAAGACTCAAGGATACCAAATCAACCCATTACACTTCACCTCCAGAATTCATAACTTTAACATGTTGGTGCCAAATACAAAGTCAATCACTTATAACATGATTACCCACACATCATTATAGAATCCAACGTGAGAGACAAATATATTTTCTAAGAATGGCATAATCAGAAATACAACAATGCATATACCATAAAAGAAACATTTGCATTTTTAGTTTCAGCTCAATAATATAGACTTTGCTTTGAAAAAGAAAGATGCCTTTGAGAGCTCATCCGCCTCTCCGGCCACTTGTGAAATCCACATAAATCAAACTATGCAATAGGCTTATATATAGTTACCCTTTTAAATAAATGAACGAGCTCTTAACCTTTCCTCAAAATTCGTAAAGGGTCTTAGAAGCATTAACAAAACATCACCCAAATGTATAAATTCTTCATTTTATTTAGTCCATATTCAGGTTACTTCTTAATAGGCATTGCCACCAATACCCCATGTGTATACCCTGGCAATAAATAACTTTACCTCTCATGGTCTCTCACGACCTTCACATGAATCCAAATATCATGCTATTTAAACCATAATCAAATGCAGATTCTTTATGTGAAGAATTCTTTTCCAAGCAACATAAGCTATCATGTAAACTTCAACCATAACTTAGCAATGAAAATAAAGAAAAGCAAACTACCTCTTTTGTCCATCAAATAATCATGCAAGAAAATGGCCACCCTTGAATCAAAATTTCTCGCATCACAAAAAGAGTTGATTCCGACATAAATACTTAACGTTTCCAAGCATATAATCCCTCATGCCACATCAAGTGAAGGACATTTCAAATATAGCGAAAGCAAGAGGTGGAAGACAGTAGACATAAATAAAAGAGAACTCAAATAACATCATAATCTTTTGAATGAGATATCTAATGTTTGCAAAACATTTTTCTACAACCATAAGTAATGAGCTATGGCCCAAAATAAAGCCTCAATTTGAACAACAACATCACCACCTTCCTCTAGTGGCATTTGAACGAATAATTTATATGCAATATTCAAGAGATCACATGGTACAAGCTAGCATAGAGAACCAATTTTACACACCTAGTAGGTTGGCCTCCTCTAAGTGATCCATACAAGAGCCCCATGATTCATGAGACAAATTACTTCTATAAGAATACATGGAAGCATGAACACAATAAAAGAAGGTGAAGATGATTTTATTCTCAGATTTTGCTCACAAAACTTCAACATTGTATTTAGGAAATTTCTAAACGAACTAGCTTATCTTATAAAAACTCCAATGCAAGCAAAAAAAAAAACAACTAAGTTCTCTTTTGTAGCATTTCACCAAATACTTAATGTGCATGGCTTAATGCAAGAACAACATGATCTCTTAAGATTTGCCACCATTTACACCTAAAACTTCTAAATCATGTTGCATAAGGTAGATGTAGGTTCACATCCTAATTACCCATTTCAAAACAAGGCAGGTCAATGTATATTATAGTGAGCTCAACAATGGCCATCACAAATCATCAATATCATGAAAGTTCATAAAGTTATTCGAAATGAATCAACATGAAAAACTAGTATCTTGCATCCACACTTACGAAAAGTTCATATGAGCATCTAATTGAAACATGTCATTTAAAATCTTGCTTAAGGCTCGCCCATATTTATCATAAACAAAATGCTCGCCACAAGATTCATGAGTTGTGATTAGAGTAAAACTTTATTCAAACCAAAATATCACCAATCTTTTCCAAGATCATTTCATCACACATAATCATTGTTATTATTTGAAAGATAAAAGAGAACAAAACGAATGAAACAAGAGAAATATGGATATGATAGTACTTGCTTATAAGCTCAAAACACTTTCATGTAATGTACTCATGAAACGAAGTGCATGGAGCCTTCACACGTCACATTAACTATGCTTTGTAGAGACTATAGAAGAAAGGGCACAAACCACATGAGATACAATCAAAATGGAACTCCAATTTGAACCCAAAAAAAAATGTCAAGACTCTCCTTTTTGACATTTCCACAAACATTTGATATGCAGAATTTGCAAAGCCATAAGAAAAACAAGCTAATATGGCAATCATAATAATTTCTTTTTTAAAACCTACTGGATTGAACTCAGCTAATCAGCCCTTACAAAATTATCCAAGATCTATGTAATAAACATCTCAATGATATGCATACATGAAGAAAAAATGAAATGCAACCAAACTTAGTTCTCAGATTTTTGTAAAGAATTCAAATACTGTCATTTTTTTAAGAAGCAAAATGAAAACTCAACTAAAGTTGATTCTCATATTTTGCAAAGAAATTCCACAAATCCCCCTTTTTTTCATTCACCAATGAAGAAGAATAAGAAGAGGAGGAGAAAGAAGAAAGGAAAAGGAAAAGAGGAAGAAAGAAGAAGAAGGACAAGGAGGAGGAAAAGGAGAAGCTTACCTTGCATCCTTGAAGGAGACCGGTCGGCAAAGGTAGGAGATGCAACGGGCTCGGGTTGACCGTCCGGATCAGCGTCGGCCAAGGCTACGGGATTGTCGGGTTCGGGTGGCTAGAGCTGGCAACGAGGCATTCAGCCTTGACTGGAGACGCCGGGTCGATTAGGGCTAGCGTCGGGATGGGTTCGCCGAAGGGGTTCAGCCTTGGCTAGGGTCGGACGGGCTTCGGCCTTAGAAGGAAGAGGCAACCCACGGCTTCTCCTTGGCTTCGGTCGGCGTCCCGAACAAAGGAGGCAGGGAGGTCGGCGTCGGGCTTCCTAGCTTGGTCCGAACAGAGGAGAAACGGAGAGGGAGAGATGGGCGCCAGAGAGGGAGGTCGGGTGTGAGAAAATGAGAGGGAGAGAATGCCTGTCAGAATCAGGCCACCCAAGGCTTCCTCCAAGCCTTCTAACGTATTCCGACGTTCTGCCCTGCTCCAAAAGCTCAAAATGGCGCTGCGACATTCTGCTCACACCAAAAGTTGCTCGAACCGATCTCTCATTCGAGGGCTCGTGCGACTGAAAGGCCTGATAACAACAGGTTCCAAATTTCGAAAAGATCAAGACCGTCAAGGCGATTTTCGGATTTAGGAAATTAAATTCAAATTTACTAGAAAGCGGTTTGGGATTTAATTAGAATTGATTTGGGCTAATTTGAGTTGGGTTTGAAAGTGAATTTGATTCAAATTGTCTTGATTAGAATCGGGTTAGGTCCGATCAATTTAATCAAATAAAATTGAACTCCAATTGAAATCGATTTGGATCAAATCGAGCTCAAATTGGGCTCGTCGAGGACTAATTAAGTCGATCGAAAGTGCTCGAGAGTGCCTGAGCGAAAATCGAGGTCAACAAGGACATAACAGGTTCTTTAATCACTATTATAATGGTGGTTACATATGGTTCTCTGACCACTGTCGCTCGACTACATTCCTTCTGAAGTTATCAAGTAATGTTCTAGGACCATCATTGTCCAAACATAGTCCTTGGACCTCCATTGACAAAAAATTATGGTCCTTGAACCACCATCAATTATTTACGTTCCTCATACCACCGTTCCCGACTACAATCCTTTGACCTCTATTACTTGTCGACTATGAGCCTCGAGCCATCATCACCCAACTATAATCCTCTAACCACTTTTACCCGATTATGGTCCTTCTGACCTCAAGCCTAACGATCATGATCCTTAGACCGCCATCACCCGACGATGGTTCTCTGACCACCATTGCCTGATGGGTCCTTTCAACCTCTATTACCTGCCAACTATGGTCCTCTAACAGCAGTCGCCCAGCTATGATCCTTTTGACAACTATCGCCAGACTACGATCCTCAGACAACCATCGCCTGACTATAGTCATTAGAACACCATCACTCGACTATGATACTCTTAACACCATCGCCCGATTATGATTCTTTTGACTTCCATCGCATATCTACTATTGTCTTCCAACATCTATCACCCAACAACTAAAGTCCTCCAACCACCGTTGCCCAGCTACAATCTTCCAACCATTGCCTTATAACCATGATCCTTCTAACTTCCTTCACCCACCAACTATAGTTTATAAACCTCTATCTCCAACCAATTATGGTCCTTTGACTACTGTCTCTCGACTATAGTACATCGATCGACAATATCCTAACCAGTGTCACCTAAATATTCAAATGTCTACTACCATCACTAATAATACTAACACACATCGTCATTTATAGGATCGATGCACCCCATCATCATCAGCTCTGTCTCCCAAATCCATTTATATCGAATTTCTGCCAAAGGGCTATTCCAACTTCAACCACATAATAGACTCTTTACATTGTATCAATATCTTCCCTCAAGGAAGAGCATCATATGTAATCAATAATAAGTACTAGTGAAATCATTTGAACTATGTCAGGTTACATGATTTTTTTCTTTCATGGATTTTTCAAGCAAAAAAATTTGTCTCTTATAATTTTTACCTTCCTCTCTTTATTTATATGTATGTTGGATCTTTGTGTAAAACTAAGACATTAGCCCCTGCGTCTCTCTGCCACCGCAAATGTCCTAGCACATAATAAGAATTACAAATATTTTTATTATTTTATGCCATAAAATTATAACAAAAAATACACATAATTTTCCATGATTACAAAATAAGCCTGACTCTGTCACAATCATGAGTGGCCTTACTCATATCACTGCAAAAAAAAAAAATCTACCTAACAGTAAAGGTTATCGCCTGGGGACACATTAAACTGGCCACAATAATATTGATAGAGATTAACACGATCGTTGACTGCTCCTTGGTTCCGACCTCCACACTCAATGACACCATTGATAGCATAAATGGTAGCTCCGAAACCTTGGCCAATGATGCCATGCACATTTCTCATCCAAAACCAAAGTGCAGTTTTAAAGGAGATAATGGGGTCGATGCTAACGCCTTCAGGCCAGTTGAGGCCATCGAAGCCAATTTCATGGCCAGCTGGACCATAATTATAATTCCACGAAATTTGGAGGGGGCCACGCCCATAGTACATCTTCCCTGGGATGCATGGATACTCTTGATTACTAGAGTCACAATATGCATCAAATTTATCACCCTGATCTTTGTAGCACATATCTGTTCATATTAATAATTTCGTTATTTTTTTATAAATAATATGGTTAAAAGAAATAATTAGATAAAGTAGTAAGCTGTCAAAAAAATTTATTGATGTTTAGTTCAAATTAATTATTCTTTAACAAGCTGGATAATTAACTATTCAACAAACTAGAAAAAAAAATACTCCTCACACTCTTACAATCTATACGTCTAAGCCTGATTTCAAAAAGTCATATATATATAAACTACGATTAAAGATATTTCTTAGGCACATATTTAAAAATTTGTTATATTTTTAATGAATAAAATAATTATTTAATTATATAATATAAGAAAAAATACTAAAAAATATTTTATCACAAAATTAAAAATTCCAATTTTTTTTAAATATAAAAAATAATTATTTAAACCAGAATTTAATGAAAAAATTAAATCATAATGTCATAATTTAATTTTAATGAAAATAAACTTACAAAATTGATAGGTTCCATCTTTATTATATTTAAATGATATAAATTAGGAAATTTCAATTTAAAAATATTGAACATATTTGTTATAAAATATCAATAAAAATAATAAAATATCAAGATATTTATATAAATAAATTCTATTATAATATCTTGATATGTTTGGTATCTTAATGAAACTACTTCTACACTTGTGGTTGATTAGATCCTTCAATATAATTAAATTATTATATAATACAAATTTAATAAAACTATATTGTTTAAAATTATCTAACAATGTACTGAACATACGTATGGTCTCATGAAAAACATGAGCGAAAAAGGCAGCGATCTCTCGCTTAAAGTCATCGATGTTGGGGCCCTCTGCAAAACCAGGGTAGCTTTGCCAAGCACCCAAGAAGGCATCTCTCGTGTAGAACCCTTTGGCCTCACAGCTAGGATCTGCCTGACTCGTTAACCCGTCGAAGAACCCTTGGCTTACCACGTCGGCGCAACCGCAATTCTGAGCGGCGGCCAGGTTGCCGGCGACGAGAAAGCCGGCGGCCATAAGGAGGAGGTTTAGTTTTGCTCCGGCCATTGTTTGGATTGATAATAAATGGAGCTGGTCGTATTTATAGATTCATTTTGGGGGAATTATTTAATTCCTGTTTCCTATGCCGTTGAACAGTTAGCTGAACAGAGTGATTTTATTTAAAAAAAATAAATAAAAAACTGTCACAAATAGGATAATATAAATGTAACAATCAATAAGTTGTAAATTGGAGAAATTGGATGCATGCGTTTATATGTATGGTATTTGTTCCATTGTTTGCGACAAATAGTTTGCCTCTATGTTTAGCCTAACAACAACTTCAAAGTCAACGGTAGCCACTACACCAACTTCATGCACCAACTCTATAAGCTTCACCATTAGCCACCTTCACTTCGCTAGCCCGTCATTTGGGACATCTTTTTAACTATGTTTTAAACCCAATTTTTTAGTTAAAATTTTTCTACTTTAAGAAATTTCTAAATTAGAAAGCTGTTTTACAAAATAATAAGAAAATTGTTCCAAACGAAATTTAAAACTTGCCCCTAAACTCAAACTCACAATGCTCGTGGTTTTCGGAAAATCTAGTCGAATCTTTCTATTGGTTTCGATTAGGATTTAGCTTATTTTTTAAGCCTGTTTACTTAACAAGCCAAATATTAACATATCCTTATTTTGATCATGTTCGGCCCCATGATAAAACCACCGAACTTTTATCTCACTATTTAAGTTGACAACATGAATTATTTTTCTCCATTGTATTCAACGTAATATTTTTAAATCTACCTCTACCTTTTTTTAATATAAGCCAGATTTAATACATCTACTCTCCCAACCATTTAATCGGAACATAACCAAATCATATGTGATGAATATCTAATCTTATCTGTCATTAGAGATACTCCAACCTTACATGCATGCTTATTTCATATTCTATCTGTAATAGTAAAGCCATTCATCTACCTAAATATCGTCATCTCTGCAACACAATACTGAAAATACAGACATCTTTAAATAAAAAATATAACTGAAACAAATATAATGTTTGAGAGCTTGTTCTCACAGTCTATAACTTCGAACCAAACAACCCCTCTTGAGAGGATAAATTACTCAGAAACTATTCTTTAGGCTCCTCCAGCTTCTAAAGTAATAGTGATCGGGGCTCTAAAATGAACTATTATCTTAGCTCTTTCTCATCATCATAACCAGCTGCTCTACCACTCCTACCAATGATATATGAGGTGGGTGATGGATTATCATACTGCATTTTGAGTCCTTTGAAGGAACGGGCGGCGAAGAAATCCACTCCGGATTGAGCCGATCCATTGAACAAGATCGAATTAGACGGTCGGTCGATCGAGTTCAGAGCTGCCTTAGAGGACTCCAACAGTGCAAGGGATTCTTCATTTGTTTGGCCTTCATTTTCTGCTAAAATAACAGGGATAGATTGAAATCATCAAAATCGAATGATAGATGGATGCCAAAAAACAGGAGAAATTATTATGTGCGGAGACTAGACGCAAAACGCCGTCCAGAGACCAATCAGAATACGCCACGTCAGTGGTACCGAACAGTACCGAGCCACGGTGTGACATAGCGCATTCTAGTTGATCTCCGGATGACGTTCTGCATCCGCACAAAATAATTAATCCAACAAAGAGAAGAGAAGCAATAAATAAAAGATCAAAATGAAGGAAATACCATGAGGTTGAACATCTTCCATGTAACCACCTTTGATAAATGAAAACCGGGCTTCTTGAATGTGATTGATATCTTGCGGTGCAGAGATCATCAAGTCACGAAACTCCATCACATATTCTCCAGTCCATTCTTTTCCACTGCAACAGTTGAAGAAGATTTGGAACCAAAGGAGTAAAAAGTAACTTCGAAAACATAAATGAGATGTTCTTAAAACATATAAAATCCTGTAGAACATCGCTCATTGTTCAATGAAATAAACAATTCATCATCATAAGTTTTTCTTGCATGAAAATCCACTAAAATTACACGCAGGAGTAGAGGAGATTGGGAGGCTCTTATGATTATGCCGCAAAAAAAAAAAACAAAATAGGCAAGAAATAGCTTCTGGCTTGCTTGATAATGAATAAAAAAAGGAGAAAAAGTGATCCCTCAACTCTTTGTAAGTGACCAAAATGGTCTCAACTTTTTTGGGAGACCAATTCAACTCCATAAAAATGAACCTTTTTGATCCTAACATGAAATTTTGGAGTTAATGGTGTTAAAACAATGGGTATTTTAGTAATTTTTTAATTAAATAATTTATTAAATTTAGTTTTCAAGTAATAGTAATTTAAAAAAAAAATAATAATAAACTTTTCTTTAATTAAAAATTATATTAATAATTCTAATTTTAATTTAAAAATTATTAATAATTCTAATTTATGATCATTATAGACTAGCATTATTAATAAATTTTTAATTAAAGAAATGTTTAATAAAAAAAATGTTAATACTATTATTTTAAAACTATATTTAATAAATAATTTAATTAAAAATGATCAAAATATCCCTTGATTTAACACCATTAATCCCAAAACTTAATGTTATAATCAAAAAGGCCAATTCTTAAGTAATTGAGAGACCAAATTAGTCTCTCAAAAGAGTTAGTTTGGGACTATTTTGGTTCCTCAAAGAGTTGAGGGACCATTTTGGTCCCCTTTCTCAATAAACAGTAATAATTAATGCTTCACAGTGAACAGGGATGACAATTCAGAAAATAGTGGAGTATTAACAACGATACATTGAATCATACAAATACTGAAGAACGACATTAATGATTCTGAAAAGGCTTCTATATCAGAAATGAACATACCTACTAAAAGCTAACATTGCTTCAAATGGAGTTATAACTGGAGCCAAAAAATCTTTGCTATCCAAGAGAGCAGTTTGGGCACAAGATACGTAGACAAAAACATCGCACTGTCCACAAATGAAGATCAATAAATGCTCAATCAAAATGTGATAGAATATTAGTCAATTTTAATCTCTCATTACCTCTGGAAAGTTGGCTAGTTTGGCAGGGCTTGGTCTTCCCATGACTAGCGTGTAAGACTTCTTCCCAGCTCTTTCAATCAATTCTTTCATCTGGTTAATCATCCTAAGATAACCAGCTTCAAGTGCCGGTTGCAGATTAATCAGTTTAGATAGATGATTGATATCAATCATTCCGTTGCAAAACAACATGGATGTAACCAATTCAAGGTGATTGCTTAACATTTAAGTACAGGAAACAGAGCACATGTATGTCATATTAAGAAAAAAGCTAATTCAAAAGAAAAGAATACCAAGCTACATAATATAAAGCATCACAAACAAACAATGTCAGAATGTCTATGTTCCACTCCCAGCATCTTTCAAGAGGTGTCAGGAATAAACAGAAATGCTAAAAGTCAGATCCGAAAAAATTTCAAGAAAGAACAAACAAATTTGTAAACAAATAAATATTCTGTTGTTAAAGAATGGAGAATTAAATTAAGATAGGCATTGCATGAAGAAAAAGATGTCAAGAAATGATCAAGATTTTCTTGCGGCCTGAGATTTGGCAAGCTACAGTAGTGATTTGGTAATTGGTTCACATTCTAGATACAAAAAGAAAGTGCAATTTGCTCACTTAAAAAATATATGGAAAAAATGCAATAGAAATAAAGAATAGAAGATTGAATTTAACATACCAACAGCTAGAGTGCCCACCAAAATGCCAACAATATTAGCATCCTTTGCCTTCTCCACAAGATAGTATCTGTTGAAACAGGCAAAAAAGTATAGGAACCAAGGGCAAACTAACTTCATTGGTATTTACAAGGTAAACGACATGAAGACATCACAAGAAATGTTGATGCAAAATACCTGCGTTTCAGAGTTTTTTTCTGATGAAAAAAATCCCGTAGAAACTGGCGTCCCTCTGGGTCATATCTGGCTGAATAAGCAGAGCAAATTGAAATATCAATATACTTAATTGCATGACAAATATTCCAGCAAAAGATTTCAAAACGTGCATAGATCAAAATTATAATAAAGACAATCAATAGCTTATTTCACCAATTTCACAGCTGTTGAATGTAAGAACAATATTTGCAAATGCAGAATCTTCAGAGCCAATCCAAAGCAGTAAGTAAGCATTGATCTTCTGATCCATTGGAATACTCCATTTTAGACCTCCAAGGTCATATCTGGTATCAGTAACCAATTTACTGCATTTCTCAGACTTTGAAGTCTTGTCCTTCTCGTCACAATTTAAATCTACAACTTTGGTATCCTGTCCGTTTATTTCGTCACTATCACCGGATGGATTTACAACTGAAGAAGTAACTTCTGCATATTGTATCATTGGACTAAACCCAGTAGATGGCAATGACATCGCCATTGCTGATTTGATGTCTTGTAAAGCATGTGCATATTCCAATCCAAATAGCACCTGCTCTCAGGAAAAGAAAGAGAAGGTAAAATCAATAACAAGAAGACTATATGCAATATTTTAAGTACCAAAGCACACAGGACAATAAAAATTACTTAAATATATAAGGGTAGAAATATGCTAAAATATCTGTAGATAAATAGCTTATAACGTGCAACAAATCAACTAGGTGTTGAACAAAATAGAGAAATATGAAATTTATTATGAACTTTGCTAATAGCCTGCTACATATTTTTTTTATGCGGCTATAATTTCTATAGGCTCATTAAGGTAAAAATTTAATAGGGTTTGATAGGTACTTTTTACTGTGAAATTTGCAACAGATATGTTATACTATTTTGCCATAACATCAACAATTGTAGCTAAGTTGTAGCTCAGTAAGGAGCAAAATAAGTATGAATTGGCATGTTAATTTTTTACCATGAAATTTGCAGCAGCTTTGCTACACTTTTCACAACAACTCTAAAATCCGTAGCTAAAGTTATAGCTCAATAAAGCAACAAATAAAAAAAAGAATGATGAGTTCTTTTTTACTTAGGAAATTTGAAACAAATTTCCCACACACTTTTGTAACAATATTAAGATCTGTAGTTAATCGATAGTTTAGTAAGATGTCAGATAATAGCAGGCTAATTTTTATGACAACTTAAAAATCACATTATTTTGTTCCTTAACCGTCCACTTACGACTCCACAGACTAATCACAACGCAAAAGTCCTAAAAGCACCTCTGCTAGCAACGACAACGTTCTGCTTAACATGTGGTTTTTCATCATTCAGTTTGATACCTTTAGCACCAAGTTACAACTGCCTTCTCTCTAATTCCCGTGCAAGCCTCTCAGAAAATTGATTCATACAGTTTCTTTTATGTTGTTCGTGAAGCTTATGGCACAACCATTGCAGGGATAAAATGATGATTCTTAAAAAATATTTGGATTAACTAAACTTGCATAAACAAAGAAAAGAAAAATTAAAATTATACAAAATTTAAGACCAAGTAAACTATGAGCTAGTCAATGAAATTGCAGGAAATTAAGAGAACAGAATACACAAAAAATCTTTACGAGGATTGAACCTTCACCACCTACGGGCCTAGACCTTCACCACCTAGGATTCCACTACTTAGATCTTGTCATCGCAAGATCCCCTTTCCTAGGGTAGAGAAAACCCATAAAATTGAATATATATATATATATATAAGTTATAGAAATTTTGAAACCCGCCAGACTGTATAATAAAAAGGAAAATAAAACATCAAAAAAATTGCACAATTTTGATATGATAAAATATAGTTGAAAGAAAAAATAAAATAAAATAACAATAAAGTCATCTTAAAACCAAGACCATCAATAGAACAGCTTCCAAAAGACTAGCAAATGATGCGGCAATATTGCTGTCTGTGGGAATTTTGATCAGCTCTAAGAACTATACCAAAAAAATGCTTTGAAGAAATTTTGCAAAAGATTTAGAGAATTTTCATCAAAATCATTAGTTTTCTTTATTACCACAGTACGTAGAAATATATAGGCTCAAATTAATACTATTTTTAGATATAAAATATTAATAAAAATTCTCCAATATTAGGTGATGCAGGACTACAATGTTTTAAATGTATGCCATAAGAATTTGCACGATTTCTTGTTTAAAACAATTAAGATTAGAACTATTAGCAGTCAAAATGACAAAAGAAAACAAGAGAGGGGTGCCTACGTTTAGGCTAAGCCACTTGCCAAACACTTGGAAGATCAAAACAAGTTAGAAGCTCAATAACATGCAAAGTAAATAAATTTCAACAAAATCCCTAATCTAACAATAAGTTAGCCACATAGAAGGTACGCTCAATTCCTACGTTTATTAGGCTTAGGCATAAGGTGAAGCACGGCTCCTTGTGACTTGTCACCACCTACAAGATTAAGATATTAGGAAAGTAAATGAAAAGGGGAAGAAGTTCACCCTTGGGAAGGTTCGAAGACGATTTGCCACTAGGCTCCGGCAAGTTGTTCGTCGATGGCCTACGATAGAGTGAAGATAATGCGCTCCACGTATTCTTCAATAGAATTATCAACTTCGGTGTTGTAGTCGAAGAACGGAGAGTGGAGGATGTTGACGTGCCCTTGTTCGTCGTAAGCGAAACCGTAATCAACTTCCGGATCGGCCTTCATTGACTTGGAGAGGAAGATGGTAGTCGAAGATCAACGTCTTTGGAGTTCCACTAGAGGGAAAGGAGTTTCTCTCGAAATTGAAGTAGAGAGGGGAAGGGATGGCTGGCCAAGAGAGGAGGGAGATGGATTTAATTTGGTTCCAATTTGGTGGAGGGAAAAAGGTTCCAAACAATGCTCTAATTAAACCCTATGTTTGGGAATAATTAAAGAAGAGGGAGAGAGGTTAGAAACAGCGGCAAGAGAGAGAGGAGATGAGGGATTTGTTTCCAAAAATTAATACTAGGTTTTGGAAAGTAATTAGAGGGAGGGGAACTTTGGTAATTTCGGCCAAGGGGGGGAGGGGGTTGGAATTTTGGAAAGAATTTCCAATGAATCCTACTAGGGGGCCAGCGGCATTAAGAGGGTTTGGGGGGGAATTAAATCAAATTAAATGCTTTCCTCATTGGGATTTACTAATTATGATGATATTTAATATCCAATCCAAATCAAATTAATTTAAATTTGATTTTTAAAACCTTTCCTAAAATAGGATTATATTTTATGAAAGGTTTCAAATTGGAATTAATTGATTAAAAGTAAATAACTTTCCCAAAAGGGGTTAAGCAAGAAAGGAAACTATTCAAGTGGAGATTTGAAAAATTGTAGGCAAGGTGGGGGAAGGCAACCAGCGGTTTGGCTACGGGTGGGGATGATGGGCCGGCGGCTAGGTGGAAATTAAAGGGTTGATTTGGGGATGTGGTGGTAGGTTGATGGTGGAGGTGTCGGGAGATTAGGTGGCCGGCAGCAAGGGGTTTTGGAACTCCTTAGGCCGGCGACTAGAGAAGGGGGAAGGAAAATTCGATAGAAAAAGAACCACGAATCCGACCATCTCCAAGATTGGTGGGTGAGCCAAATTCCCTCTCCAAGGGACCTCGCTCCAATCTCTCTCAAGCTCTCATAAGAACTCAAACATGGGGAAATTTTTTATCTTTCAATCATTAAACTTTCAAAGAGAAACATAGGGGTTATAAATAGCCTCGTACATAAGACTCAAAATACGAAAGAAAATAATGCCCTCAGAGCTTACATACGACCTCTCTTAAGGTGTAAAAACGGGAAAACAACTACAACATAAATAATAAAAGACAAATAACATAATAAAAGACAAAGACATGGAATGACTCAAAAATACATCAACTCGATTGTAGCCGTAGATTGACGGCCATGCCTCTGATATACTTTTCATGCTCTGATGTCCCCATCATTAGGTATATAAAAGGGATAGAAATATATCATATTTGATTTTATCATTATATATATGGCAATACATAAGTTATATATTATATATATATATAAAGCTATGTATTATACATGATTTTGCATATATGAAACAAGAAGAATCTAATGGAATTAAAATCAAAAGCTAATTCTGCATATATAAATAAATAAATATTAAATAATATTTTAATTATAAATAAAACTTAGTTTAGAAAAAAAATTAATAGTTGTACTGATCAACTTGAATTTAACATTTAGCATCAAATAAATTATTGGGCCTTTCTTCTCCTCCTTCACTTAGCATCAAATAAATTATAGATGTAGATCTCTTTTATTTGCATATACCACATATTCTTGTTATTGCTATAGATTTTGCTTTGCCCCAATATCATGGGAGTTGCCTACTTCCGACATTCCTGCTCGAAGCCTCATCCCATTGCCATGATTTTGTCATTTGTCTCTCCCATTCAGTGTAGTTCACTCTTGGAAAATGCTACGACATCAGCCTCATCGTGATCTCCTCAAGTTGAGCATAAATTTTGTCTCAATCTTTCTATTTGTTTAAACACAATGTGTTATTGCCCTCCAAAACTTTAGGTGAGCACTATGATCTCATCTTTCCTTCAATGGTTATTTGATGATTTCTTCTACATTAATATATTTTGCTAGCTTCCCTTCATTGACTAGTTAATGTTTTTCCCATTATGTTTTTGTTAGTTTACTCTCTTACAGCTTCCCTTCATTGACTAGCAAAGAGATAGGAGAAGTATTTAGTTCAAGTGAAATACATTAAGAATGAAAATCAAAAAAATATTTTTCTTAAAAGAGGAAATTCAATATGGGTGGATGAGATATTTCGATAAACTTTTCAATGAAGGATGTGATAATACAATTGACCTTAGTGGTCTTAACATCCTAAATAAAAATAGAGACTTTTATTTTTATCATCATATCAATAAAATCAAAATTGGAGAGGCTTTAAAAAAATGAATTGTGAAAAAAATAGTATGACTTGATGATATTCTAATAGAAATGTGAATGCAGGAGATCAAGGAATTTCTTGGCTCGCTATACTCTTTAATATTATTTTGAAGACTAAAAAGATGTTTGAAGAGTGAAGACAGAATTATTTGATTCTTATTTTTTAGAATAAGGGTGATGCAAAAGAGTATTTGAATTATTAAAAAGAGTGCAAGTTTTAGATATCAAGGTCTATTGTTCAAAGCGATGGTGAAATAGATGGTGATATTATTAGTAGAATTCAAGTTGGATGGTTAAAGTGGAGGAATGCATTGAACCTATTGTGTGATAGAAAAGTACCCCAAAAACTTAAAGGAAAATTTTATAAGATAGTGGTGAGACCTAAAGGAAACTTAAAAAAGAAGCATAAAATTAAGTGTTGTAGAGATGAGGATGCTCAGTTTGGTGAGTGGCTTTACACTTAGAAAAAATGCAAAACGAGTTTATACGTGAAAAGGTTGGAGTAGCTCCAGTGACAAATAAGATTAGAGAGAGTCTCCTTAGATGGTTTCGTCACATAAAACGTCATCCTTTTGTTAACCATGTTAAGAGAAAGGATGTATTAGATCCAGCCTATGTTATAAAGGTAGAGGTTATGTATAAATGAAACATTTATTATCTTACACTTCCTGTTGCCTTAATATGAGTTGGTTATGGGTTTTGCAATTTAAAACAAATGTTATTATGTTTCTCACACACTTCAATCTAATGTTTGGGGCCACAAGCTGCTTGGCAGTCAAAGTAGATTTTAGGATATTCTTCCAAGGTACCTAACAAATTTTAGCCAAAAAAATTACAACAACATTATGAAGCTTTAGGATTCAAATGCAAAACAGCATCCAATCGGCCAGCTTACAGAGAAGAATTTAGTTTAAATATTCATATCACAACAGATAACACTTAGAAAATGGCATAAAGGAAATGAGAAGTATGCCAAGGAGTGGGATTGAATAGACTATGCACAAGACATGGAAAGAAGATTTAACAGCATGCATAGTCGAGCATGCGCATGATCAAAGAAAAAGTATGTAGCTAATAATCTACTCTTTTCCAAACAAAACAAAATTGATTGGGTTCATAGTGATATATAGAATAACATGTTGAAAATCATTAGATAACAAACAACTGGGAGGACAAAGAAAAAAAAGCTCACTAAAATTAAAACTGAGGACAAATTTAAAAAAAAAAACCACTAAAATTGAACATCAGATAATGATGTCACAATCACTAAACATATGGGTGGTTCCAATCTGAATGGTAAATTCTAACCTTTTAACTTGTGAAGACTAAGTATGGGATTAGGAAGTACGCCAAGAGATGTGATTGAATTGGCTATGCACAAGACATGGAAAGAAGATTTAACAGCATGCATAGTCAAGCATGCGCATAAGCAAAGAAAAAGTAAGTGGCTAGTAATATACTCTTTTCCAAACAACACAAAATTGATTGGGTTCATAGTGATGTATGGAATAACTTGTTGAAAATCACCAAAGCACAAACAACTGGGACAACAAACAAAACAAGCTCACTAAAATTGAGACGGGGAAATAAAAAAAAAAAACTCACTAAAATTGAATGTCAGAGAATGATGACACAATCACTAAACATATGGGTGGTTCGTAAATTCTGATCTTTTAACTTGTGAAGATTAATTATACAACTTAAAAATATTTTGCAATAGATTTGCTCAAGAGTTTTTTATAACACGTTTAATACTTGTAAATGAACTGGATTGTTGGCTGAAAATGTTTATGATACAAAATTGCTACAGATAAATTTTCTACGAAATTGATATAAATTAGTGACAAATTGAAACATTGGAGATTGGTGAATTTGTTGTGAGTTGGATGAAATTTTGCTACTTACCAATCCATAGTGAATAGCCTCAAGCGACAACTTTGTAGCAATCAGCTATAAGCTAAAAAGTGATAACATTTTTGTAAGAAAAATCTGTAGCTAATCAGGCATTTGCTAGATATGACATATGAATTCTACTTTTGCTAACTTTCCTAATAGTTGTTGTCCCCAAGTAATGGAATAAAGGCAAGTCATTGTCTTTGTTATTGTTCTAGTAGTTGTGGTGGAACAAATAAATCATCCACAATGTATGGAGATAGCTAAAGAGTCATCCAATACTTCTATACCATTCAGCATTCACCAAAGGTGATCTAGGATAACTTGTTACCCTATGCCGTACCTCCCACCCCCTTCTCTCTCCCTTCCCTCCCCTCTTTCTAACGCCACCCTTTCTAAAGAAAAATAAACATAATGAGATAAAGTATGCTAAAAATAAATGCAAAACAATACACAAACATGAAAGATCTATGAACATTATATAACAAGTACCAAATGCATGGAGTTTACGTTAAGGGAGAGATTATTCTTGCATTTGTAGAGCGTTATTTTCATGACAAAACCTAGGATCACCCGAATACTCTAAAGGAAACTTAACTATCACTCCAAGTTCACCTTCACCTTTTGCGAACATTATTTATAAGATGGATGTAAAAATCTCATTAACATGACACAAGTTTATGCCAAATATTGTAAGATACAGCTTAAAGTTCAAAATTAATTTTTAACTTATCAAACTCTCTGTTCACTCTTCCAAGTAAAATTTCTTACAAGATAAGTTGTAGATGGTTATGATAATATCATAATAGGTGATGCATATGTTGAGAGTCTAGGAGTTCTAATTGGATTCCAACAACAATCAGACATGTAAAAAAAAAAAAATGGATACATACCATAATAGGCTTATTGTTTGAGGATAGGTGGTGATGTAAAGATTGCACACAATCACTCACATCAATTGAGGCTTTCCCAAACACAAAGAAGGCAGGTAATGTAGTTGTCCTGCAAGTAATAAAGGTGAAATTTAGAGAGTTTGGACTATCCAACCTCGCGTGTTAATGGTGAATGGAGCTCTGAAGGGTATGATGGGCCATCATTGAGCATGCCACAGTATGTGTTATAATAAAAAAGCACAAATCATAAAAAATAATCAAGACTATAGGAATATTTCATCATTATAAGATAACTAATATCCAAGAAACAAAAATAATTGTCACATCATTATAGCATAAGTTTGTTCAAGTTGAATGAAAATTAAATGACATAAGAGACATGAATCCAAATATATCAAACTAACTAACCTTACCAATAGTACCTGCAAAAGAAAAAACATAATAAATGCAACAACCTAAACTCACATGAAACCATTTTCTCACTGTTATGGAACATTTTTCAAGCACATGACATTAAACAGTAACAAATGAACCAGCAAATACACATGTTTTAGTAAAAACATAGCATTAGAGTCATAGAATTGTCACATGCAGTCGCTTCAATATATATCCATTCTCAATCCCTAAATAATAGCTAATACAAAAAAAAAAAAAAACCCAAAAATTTTCAATTTTGGCAAACATACGGGTCATAATAACCAAACGACAGAAAAATGAATACAAATAATTAATGTTAGTCGTTACTAAGACCATAGAGAACTGACGGGCTCATACAGGCGTGGCCATAATGGACGACGCACTCAGCGTCGACATGGGCGGCACCGACCTCGTCCACACAGCAACTACCGTAAGCGGTGTCGGCCATGACGAAGAGGCGCACGCCCCGCCCGAGCTCATTCCTCAGCGCCCTCGCCACCCTAGTCGAGTCCTTGAGTAGCTCATCCGGAAACTGCACAGAAGAAGGCCTTCTGTAATCTAATCCAGCGTTCAAAGGTACGAGATGAAGGGAATCGGGAAAAAGGTGAAAGCAAAAATAAGGGTTTAATGAGCAGAATTAAATTGGCATTGGGTGTAGTGGAAACCTGCAAGGCGACTCTGGCGAAGTTGTTACTGCGGATGTAATCCGCTGTCCGGTGGATTTCGTAGTTAGATTCCAAATCCATGTGAGCACAAACCCTAGGGGGTGTTTGGCAACAGGATTTAACAGGACTAAATCCTGTAGTTCGGCGGATTTGCGGAATTTGGCCGAAGAAGCGCAGCGAGCAAACTCCCGCCTTGACTTCTCGATCCGACGTCGTTGAAGGGGACGAAGAATTTTCCTTATATCCGATCCGGAAGAGCCCGTTATGAAGAAATAGGAATAATTTTAAAAAACTTAGGCCCTCGGCTGTAAACTGAATATAATCTATATTATTATTATTATTATAGAAGAGATTTCCTAGCAAATGATGATCATCTATTTTATTTATTCTTAAATTATTTTGAGCATCCATTATAATATAAATAATTAATAATTCAAAAAAATAATACCTATATAATTTAATGGTCACTATGTATCATTCTATATTAATTTTAAATCTTCTTAACGTTTTAATTTTCGGTATGTTTTATTTATTTATGTATGTTTCGAACTTCCCTATATGTTACCCATTCACACGAAAGATGAAATGTTCTTCTCATTTGCTTGGCTCTTCCGACTCTTTGTTTCTTGCATAAATGAATAATGAAGTAATACACATCAACTGCCTAAACTCTTCCTCTTCACGTTGCTTGATTTTGTGCCTCTTCAGAAATCCATTTTATTTCTTCTTAAATTATCTTGACTTTGAAATAAGATTTAAATCAAATACATGGGTTGTCGTTAATATCTTATATGTATTAGAAAATTTTGATAAGTGAAATACTTTTGAGTAAAACTAGACATTTAAAATAACTTGCATATGACATGCAATCCTGACTAATTTTGATAAGTGCAGCTTTTTTGTCATTTACATTTGGCGTCACTGTTTCGTTGCTTAATTTTGATTCTTTTTTATGATAATTCGAGGATAAAACTCTTTGTTGTTAGGTGTTTAGAGTGAAGAATGCATTTAGAGTGATGATATCCTATGTTGGCTTGGTTGATTCGAGGAACGATTTGATGATTTTTGTTGGATTTATGGAAATAAAGAAGGCATTGAATTATAGCATGTTGTGATCTATTTTTAGAATTGTGTAAATTGATTTATTTTGATGAGTTTAATGCTTTGAATTTCTGTTTGTAGTCTATTCTCAAATGTATGTCATCTTGAGTCATTTGGGAACCTATGCATTTAAATATTTCATAGAGTATCCACAACCTATTCAATACAATTAATTACAAAATTAAAACTATTAATAGATTGAAGCACATATATAATAATATTTTATTTAAGCAAATAAATGACCAATTAAGCCTCCGTTTTGGCTTTCCTATTCACGATCGATTCGTCCTTTGTTTCCTATCGCGAGCAATTTTGCCTAGCAGTCGGCTTGCCCTAACTTTTCTTCGTCCTCTACTTTGTCTCTTCCTGTAGGTATCTTCTTCAATTATTTTAGCCTCTTCAAAGTTTATAACTGTTCTCCTACAATTGCATTTCTACCTAATGAACTTCTCTTTAAGCATTCTTCTTTTCTATATATATAGCCTATTAAATGCTCTACTCCTTCACCTCTCATTGATTTTAAATCTTTTATTTCATAATCGAACTGGTTGGAATATCTATCAGAGGCGAGAAAATACAATTTCTGTTTGTTATTGGATCAGAATGAGCTTAGCAGTATCCGAGAAGAATCATCTAACACTTTGAAAATATTTGGTTTGATGTTTTTTGCATGGCTGATGTTTATTATCCTAATATTTAGATTTCAATATCAATTTTTGTAAGTTACTTTGATATAATGAATTTTAGATATGTTAATCATATTTCTAGTGAATATTTTTTCATTGCGGAGAAGTTTATACCCTAAGGGCATCTCCAACCGAACGGCAAACAATTGTTTGCCGTTCTTGTTTTGCTCCAACCGATCGCCATTTTTTACCTCATTTGATCGCGGATGAACAGTGCGACGCCAATATTGGCGTCGCACTGTTCACTCACGCCATTTTTTGCTCTCAACCGGAAAACGCGCGAAAGGGTGGGCGATCGTTACCTTCTCAAAAACACCTAAAATGGCGTTCGATTGTAGCATCAACACGCCATTTTGGAGTTTTGCGTTACTTTGCCGTGAAAAATGAAGTTTTCGGTTGGAGATGCCCTTATTCAGTTTATTCTAAATTTATCAGGTCACATTGTCTTCTCAGGTTACTAATGAAATTTTTCCAAGCTCAATGGGCAAACTGTGTGGATGCTAGCCTATATATAATTGAATTAATAGAAAATGAACAAGTGAAGGTCCAAGTTGGATGTATGGTTCATTAGGGTATGGTATAAGTATGACTACCTGATTCCAAGGCAAGTCATCTCCTAACTATTGATGTGAATTAGTTTGATTTTTCATTACTTTGATAAATTTATCTTTTGCCTATTTCTTCTACATAAGTTATTTTTATATAATTTATTACTCTTCATTTTGGTCAAAAAGTAATACATCAAAATTTTGATTTTAGGAAAATTAATTTATTTGCTTGTAAATTTGTTCTATTTCTATCCCTTGGATATTTAAGAACATTTCATTATAAATTGACCTACACGATTACTATTGTCTATTTTCATTTATATTTCATCATTATATTAATTAAATGTAGGATAATAATTTGGCCAATAAAAAATCAATTAATGATGCAATTATATAGTTTCAAGTTATGGTTTTGGAAAAAAGACATCATAATTATCATGAGTTTTAAAACTACATTCCGTTATTCGATTTTAGTATGAGCTTTAGAAAACTTTCTTGATAGACAAGTGATTTGAAATATCGATCTCAATTAATTATTACTTAGTACTTTACTAATATTATTAATAATTGAAATTATTTATAGGGGTAAAATTAATTATTTTATCTTTTTATTAAAAATAATATAATTAAAAAGGGAAGGTCTGCGAGCGAGCTCTTCCATGCCTTCAAATCCGAGAGGAAGGGAATGTCCTCGAAGCTCTTTTGTTCCTTCTGATCCGAGAGGAAGGGAACATCGTCGAAGCGAGCTCTTTCGTGATTTCATGCAGGCTTTTCCCTTAAAATGAGTGATTTTATTTTACGCCGAAATTGAATTGCCGTGGCAAATTTCTAATACATTGGAATTTCACTTTACTTTACACTGCATTCTTTTTTTCTCCAATCAAATAACCCTATA